TCCTCCTCCCTCCTCCTCCTCCTCCTCCTCCTCCTCCTCCTCCCTCCTCCTCCTCCTCCTCCTCCTCCTCCTCCTCCTCCTCCTCCTCGTCCTCCTCCTCTCCTCCTCCTCCTCCCTCCTCCTCCTCCCTCCTCCTCCTCCTCCTCCTCCTCCTCGCGGGCAGCCTCGTCCGGCGCCAGCGCCTCCTCGGGGAGCTGCCCGTCGTGGGCGGCGTCCGCGGGCGCAGCCGCCCGCGGAGCGGCGGCCGCGGGCGGCGGCGGCGCCGGCGCCGCAGCGGCCGCGGGCTCCCCGCGCCACGCGCGCTCCAGGGCCTCCAGGGAGGAGGAGGGGGAGGAGGAGGAGGAGGAGGAGGAGGAGGAGGAGGAGGAGGGGGAGAACGAGGGAGGAGGAGGGAGAACGAGGGAGGAGGAGGGGAGGGATGAGGGAGGAGGAGGAGGGAAGTGGAGGAGGAGGAGGGCGGAGGAGGGCTCCGTGAGGCCACGGCGGGGGGGCCTGCCCGGGGAGGGGGGCACGCGGGCAAGCTGGCCGCGCTCCTGCGCCATGTCGGGCACCCTGTTCCTCCTCCTCCTCCTCCCTCCTGCTCCTCCGCCTCCTCCTCTCCTCCTCCTCCCTCCTCCTCCTCCTCCTCCTCCTCCTCCTCCTCCTCTCCTCCTCCTCCTCCTCCTCCTCCTCCTGTCGGACACCCTGTTCCTCCCTCCCATCCCTTCCCAGTGCGCTGACTTTTCATGATCCGCAGACGCGTGTCATAGCCGACCTGGAACTCCACAAACGACCCCACCGTGTTGTGCGCAGTCGGAGAGAAGAAACCTCTGGGACCCGGGGGACCTCTGTGGCCTGTGGGGCCTGTGAGACCTGCGACTCATGTGGGGCTTGTGGAACCTGTGGAACCTGTGGGAAGGCGTGGGACGACTGAGACCTGCGAGACCTGTGAGACCCACGGCACAGGCAGGACCTGCGGGACCTGCAGAACCTGGGGGAAATTCTGTGTGACCTGTGAGATATGCGACTTCTGGGACCTGTGGGACCTGCGGGACCTGTTGGACATGTGGGGCATACGAGACCTGCGACACCAATAGCACTTATAGGACCTGTGGAAGCTGTCAGACCGGTGGGACCTGTGGGGCGACCTGCAACACTCGTGGGTCATGTGTGACTTGTAGGACCTGTGGTGATGGCGGGACCTGCGGGGTCCCAAAAGGTAGCCCACGCTGGGGCGGGAGGCGCCACTTTCTGACCAACGGCAGCGCAGCGCCGATCCGAAAATGAGGCCCACGCTGCAGCGCGAACGCACTAAAAAACTGCACAGCAATATTGCAACAGGTCCTATGACGCAAATCATGCGTGGAAGAACACGGACGCGGAAGGCGCGAATTGAGCAAACACGAACAAGAGAAAGTTGGGGGGGGAGTACATCCGAATTCTCTTCTAGAGAGGAGAAACTGCGTTGTGCAATGGAGGCGCGGCGACGGGATAGGCGGCGACGAGGCGGCGACGGGGCGGCGACGGCGACAACGTAGCCGTCAGGCTGGCAGACAGGCACCAACGACGAGCGGCAACGGGGCGGAGACGGCGAGCCCGCAGCCGCCAGACCAGCAGACAGGCCCAGACGATGGGCTGCGGCGAGGCGGTGACGGGACAGCGACGGCGAGCACCGAGCCGCCAGACTTGCATTTCTTCTTTAATAGATCATCTTCTCGTAACCACACAAGGTTAATAGATCATCTGGTCTGCAATCGCCTGACTACAGACGCAAGCGTAAAGAGAGGCTGAGATACATAACGTGTAATATGTGTATCCATGCGCCGTCCTGTAAACAATGCTGACAGGCCCAGTTCCGTAGAACAGAAGTAAGAGCCCCTGATGCAAGCACTGTTTGGGTAAAATTTGGGATTCTGGCATTGTGATCGAAGCGGAAGTCTATCGCTGCAGGACACGGTCGTAGGCGTGATCTTGAGTGGATGCTGCTCGCGAGCTACTCGGGCGACCATTGGAGACATTTGTACAGAGCTTTCGCCCGAGTCGTCAATTTCCTGAGCAGCACTTACCACCGTGGTTGCGCATGCTCGTCCTTGCTCGCTTCTCAAGCTCTCCTCAACCAACACCACAGAATAGGCATGGGGAAGACATGCAGGTGCAACCAGCTGATATTGATGATTTCTTCGGCAATTGCCCTCGGGATGAGACGCGCAACATGCTTTGGGACCCGGTCGCATGTCATGCGCAAGACAATCAAGGGGATTACGTTCACGTTGCGAAGTGGTGGCTGGAACGTTTTTTTCAGAGCGCGCGTGGCTACACGCTTCTGCGCCCAGGGACTCCACGTGGAGATTTGCGCAACCAGTTCGCAGGGTCACAGCGTTTTTCTACACGTCCTTCCACACTCGGGATTTGAAAATAAGCATAGAACACGATTTCAAATAATTACGGCTTCTTTCGGTGCTCCAGCTAAGCCTACGTCGTGCCGGACGGCTTCCCCAAGGCAGTACGCAAGCGCCGGTATTGGCCAATAGCGTTGCCTCATGAAAGAAAACGTATGGCTTCGCACTTTCCCAGGGCACGTTGGATAGAGCTTCGACCAGTATGCCTTGGTTGTGCGCTGGATGGACGACCACCTGAACATTACCAGCAACTACACGCACCACGACATCCGAAACATGTTGGCGAACCTGCATTTTTACTCTGGGTCGTCCATGCTTTTGGGAGAACTGATGAGCTTGTCCTGGATCACTCACCAGTTGTCATTTTTTGAAACAGGAGGGCGAAGATAGGGTGCCCGTTGGGTCATATTCTGTTAATTGTGAGGTTGGCAGCGAATGTAAGCTCCGAGATCGATTGGCCATGCAGTGCGTTGAAGCCCGATTGAGCGGATACACTTTGAACGAAGTGACTCGGGCAGTCCAGGGTCTGTGTGAGCTTATGCCTGGGCTGGGCACGCCAGCCGAGATCGTGTGCAAACTTACTCGACCGTTATGCTGCCGATCGCTGACCCCCCCCCTCTCTGTAGCTTTCTTGTTCCTCCGCAGTAGTCCGCCATTCGATATGTTATGCCGGCATTACCTGCTGCTCGGCCGTGCACGCGTGCATGCGTTCCGTCCCCTTCTGACTGCCCATTCTCATGTACACCGCGCAGTCGTGGGTAGTCTTGCAGTGGTAACGGTCCGTATGCATGACGGCTCGAGAACAGGGGCAGGACGGGCAGCATGAAGACCTGACCTGGAGCAAAAACGGCTGCACCCTAGTCGATCGTTCTCCAAGCCTCCCGTGGGGGCGGACAGTAGAGGAGGAATGAAGAGGAGGGAGAGCGAGAGAGAGCGAGAGGGCAGAGGGCAGAGGAAGGAGAGGAGAGGTAGATAAGGCGAGAGCGCGACTCACGTCCTGTGCCATGCGCGCCCTCCTTCGTTTCCTCCTCCTGTTTGCGCTGTGCTGGCACTGCGCTGCGGGCAACGCGCTGTGCCTGGTCCCAGCCGCCAGCCACCGTCAACAGGGGGCTGCGAAGATGGGTGGCGTCCCGAACGCATGAAGGGACGGAAGGAAAGAACAAGTGCTTGCAGGATGATGCCCCACTGTACACCAAACAGACGGAATCACAGCTGCTTGCAGCCTGGGACCAGGATGAGGGTGCACAGGAGCCGTTGGAGAAGAAGAGGCATGGCCGTGCACGCGGAAGTGAGGCGGGTGGGCCCAGAATCGCATAACGGATGGCGACGTTGGGAGATAGACCGCGTGAACGGCGGGCCGCCAGCCGTCGCAAAATGGCCGCTTGGCCACCCGGCTGACGGCTTACACGACTGGCGAGGGCGGGACAGATTCCTTCTCGTCCTCCTCGTCCTCGTCCTCGTCCTCCTCCTCCTCCTCCTCCTCCTCCTCCTCCTCTCCTCCTCCTCCTCCTCCTCCTCCTCCTCCTCCTCCTCCTCCTCCTCTAAGCAAGGGAAGGGAAGGGATGGGGGGAGTAAGGGACAATGGAGAGGGAAGGCGCGGGAAGAGGAAGGGAGGGAACGAGGGAGGGAGAGGAGGACAACGGAGGAGATGGGGCCAGGGGCGAGAGAGGGCGGGGGGAGCGGGGAGGGGCAAGCTAAGTGCGTTCGCGTCATATATGACGTCCTACCCCTCCTACCCATCCCTCACCATGACGTAGATATACTCTCTTTTCGCACAGTCGGATATCGATCAGGACACTGATCACGAGAGGGTACGCGATGCACGGTAGAGCACGGCATGGCACGGCGTAGACGAGCACGGCAGAGCGTAGGATGCCATAGCATGGCGTGGCATTGCGCAGTGAAGCATTGCATCACAAAGCGCGGCAACGCAAAGCATGGCATCGCACAGCGGCGCGGAGCACAACACCGCACAGTATGTCACGGCATGGCGCCAGGTTCTTCGGATGGTAAGTGGATCATCTTCGAGAGGTCTGAGCTGGTCTGGAATCGTGGCTCCATGTCTAGATCCTCGGGCTCTCCGAGAAGCTCCACACAAGGCGGTCTGATGGAGAGCACCCGCTGGCACTGCTTTCAACATCGCCTTCTCAAAGCAGAAACGGGTCTCCCGCAAGAACGTCCTTAAAGCGACGGCGCCCCAAAGTGTGGGGAGGGGGAGTTTCTGCGGCCCAAAAATCAACGAATCGACACCACAAGAGTCATCACACCCGATGTTTTTTAGGGAGGGGGCATTTTTTAGATTGGGGGGCCTATCCGGAAGGAAGGCCCGCGCTGCAGCAGGAGCACGATTCGGAACGGGCGGAAGCGCGAACATGAGGCCAGCGCTTCAACGGGAACAACATTTTGAAACAAAACCCAAGCGAAAACCCAACTCCCGGGAATCCTGTGTAAAAACAATGCGCGGAGGGGGGCTGGATGTCTTCCGGACGTCATCAGGGGAGAGAGAGGAAAGTAGTTTTGTAGGTGTGGAGGATCGGGGAGGCGGGGGGAGGGGGTGGGGGCGCACGGGGACGCGTGGGGGAACCCAGGGAAGGATGGGGAGCGAGAGCAGGAAGAGGGGGCCTGGCGGGAGCGAGGGAGGGAGGGAGGGGGGGGGGGGGGGTGCGAGGCGCGAGGGAGGCCTCCTCCAGCGGCGAGGCCTCCGCGCCGCCTCCTGCGGCGAGCCCAGCTGGCAGCGCCCGCACCGACAGCCCCGCGCCGAGCGAGCCGTCGAAGGGCGAGAGCTGCCAGCCGCTGGACGGCGGCTCCTGGCCGAGGGATGCCCCCCTTCCCCTGTCCCTTCCCTCCTCGATCCCCCCCCGCTCTCCCCCTCCCCCTCCCCCCTTCCCCTGTAGCCGTTTCGGCACGAGCTCTTTCAGGGGCCCGTGCTTGTGTTCACGTACTTCGAAGCGGCTCGTGAACACGGGCCACTTCACAAGCGCACGGCGCCTCCCGCTGCTGAGTCCAGCAGTGGCGGATGGTGCCAAACCCGCCCGATGTCTTGCCTGGAGCCAAGACTCCCCTGTGGAGTTGCAGCTGCGGGTGCCCGGACAATTGGGCGTCCAGGGTCATATGCAGAGGCTGCGGCAAGGATGCCCCAGGGCGAGTCGTCCAGGCAGCTCGTAAGGCATCAGCGGCACTCAAGTCAGGATCGGTTCGCGGGCCTCGTGGTGCCTGGGCTCAAGGGCCGCCGCCGATCGGACCCAGCAACAAGGAGCAGATGCGCCTCATTCAGGAGCTCAGGGCAGAGGTCGCGCAGTTGGCGGGTAAGCAGCCCCCAGCTCGGCCGCCATGGCAGTCCAGCTCCCCTTCGCCGCAGCGGGGCACGACGGGCGAATCGTCCGCCAAGCTCTCGTTCGCTAATGTGCTGCAGTTCCTCAAGGATGAGGGCGTTGACACGGCGAAGGTCGAAGAAGCAGAACAGGCAAAGAAGCAGGCTACGGCAGTCAAGCAGCCCACATCCAGGGCCGCGCACTGGAAGGTCGAGAACCTCCGCACCAAGCTCTCCAAGGCGGAGGTGCGTGCGGCGGCGTTGCGCAAGCAACGGGAGGATCTTCAGGCCGAGATCGCTGAGCTGGACAAGAGCGTCGACAAGCTCAAAGAGGACCTCGGACAGGCTGAGCAGGCGCTTTTCCGAGTCCAAGCAGATGGAGATCCACTCAGAGCAGTCACTGCCACCCTGGACGAGGCCGTCGCCCAGTCTGATGAAGGAAAAGCTGCATTGGCCACCCTCCAGCGCCTGCAGGCCGATGCTCAGGCCAAGAGGGCAGTGGCCAGCGGGCCTGATGCTGCAAGTGCTCCTCCTGGTACTGCTACAGGCGGGGCGGGCAGCGGCGAGCACATTGCAGCCACGGCAGGCGACGGCGACGACATCGACATGGACTTGCTGGATGGAGAAGACTTCGATGAGCGCAGGGCAGCTTTTGACAAGGCCGCCCAGGAGCTCAAGGAGGCCAAAGGAGGAAGTCAGGAGCAGCTCGACGCCGCCAAGCGCAAGTACCTCGAGGCTGCGGAGGCCATTGGGGTCAAGCGGGCTCGGTCGTGCTCCTGAGCTGGACGCTGGAGTGGAGGGCCCTCCTCCAGTCAGCGGTGTGAAGGAGCAGTCCAGCTTGAATGCCTTCCTGAGGTGCAACATCCTGGACCTTGACTGGGAGCAGGCCACGGGCTTCGCTGTGCCAGTCATGCGCGACGACCTGCTGTTCGACTCGATGCAGTTTCGCCAGCGTGACGGAACTTTGATGGAGTTGGACGAGAAGGATTGGCCCGTGCTCGGTTCCGCTTTGGCGAGGAGTACGTCGTCGTATCGCTTGGGCAAGGGAGGGAGGGATTCAGCCCCTCGAAGTCACACTCCCTTGCCCGCATCGTCGATTGCTTCCAGTTCGAGCACGGCGACTTCGGCATCCTCGATGATCCCCCAACTGGCCCGCTCCTCGGGGTCGGGGGCAAGTGCAGCGCAGGAACATACTCCCCAACTGGCCCGCTCCTCGGGGTTGGGGACATGTGCAGCGCAGAGGCTACCGCCCCAACTGGCCCGCTCCTCGGGGTTGGGGGCATCTCCTAGCTGTGAGGCCAGTCCGTCTTCGTGGATGGCATGCGCGTCGACGCAGACGGCTACGGCGGCGACGGCTGGTTCTTCGCGTGGAGTTAGGACGCAACAGTCGTCGCCGCCTGCCCTTCCCTCCCCCAGGGCACCCCTTCCACAGGAGGCGGGGGTCTCAGCGCGTGGGGAGGGGGGGCAGGATGTTTTGCTGGCGCAGCATCCAGACGCTGAAGTGAGATTGGCTGGCAGTGTGCGTGGCCTCCTTCGTCCCCAAGTTGAGCCAGATGCGGATTCGAAAACACATTGGTTGAAATCCGACGGGAGGGCGGAAGTACCTCCCGCTCGTAATCTTCTTGCGGACGATCGTGTCTCTGGTGTAGCGCGGGGATCTGCAGACTTGTGCATTTTTGGAGCCAACGTCAACAGCTGGTCGACAGCGGACACTGTAGTGAACTGGGTCCGAGATCAAGCTGACGTCGGAGGATCTGGGGCGGAGTCTTGGGGGTTAGTCCAAAGCAAGTTCCAGGTGGTCACGCTCCAGGAGACAAGGTTGAAGTCCCCCGACAAGATCATCTCGGCCCAGAGTTGGGCCTGCAGGAATGGGTACCAGGTGTCTCTCGGGAAGGCCCTCAGCACTGGCGACGGGCCCTTGCAGAGCTCTGGAGGAGTCGGTATCTTGGTTGCTGGGGAGATCGCTTCGAGGCCCTTGGATCTTCCAGGTTTGGGCAGGTTCGACGGGAGGATCGTAGGTCGGGTCATCAACGCGGGGTTCGACCAGGGCCTTGAGATCTACAGTGTCTATCTCGTCAACGACATAGGCGTGACGGGCGAGAATTTAGAGCTTTTGGAAGTTCTGGGGGCGCTTCTTTTATGCAGTAAGCGCCCGTGGGTCGTGCAAGGTGATTGGAATTTCACGCCCGCGGCTCTCCAACTATCAGGTTGGATACAGCATGTGCACGGTGTGCTAGCCTCTTCTGGCCAGGCAACCTGCTCGGCCTGCGCTCCTAGGACTGCCAGGGGACAAGATATGGAGGAGGAGGAGCTGACGGAGCACGACGGGGGAGGAAGGGAGCTTGACTTCTTCGTCGTGTCATCGGCTATCAGTTCGTGCATCAAAGATGTCCAGGCTATCCGAGGAGCGCCTCTTTTTCCCC